TCGTGGAGACTCATGCTCACTGACTTGTACGAATGTATGTGGTGAGTTATGTAATAACTTATGAAATGAAAAGTACCGCTCCGTAAGTTATATCAAATACATAAAATATGCATGTGTACTTCGGACAAATATAACAGATCACATCGTATAATTATAACATATATCGAACAAGATAATTAGATTACAAAATTCCCTTTAATAGCATTTAAGTTATTGATTCGATATGAAATGAGGATAAACGTTAGTCGGTATTTTAGTAAAGGGACTAATATCCTATGCTCTCACACAAATTCAGAGAATGTTCTATATTGATTCAGAGTAATTAAACGAACGAATTTATTATTATTACATAAATCACATTAGCTCACTTCACATATATATTAAATCTCTGACTCCAGGATTTTATTATTTATGATTTATTCACGTATAACTTACAGACTACGTTTTGCTAAAATATAGAGCAATACTGCAGTTAAAGCTAAAATATTGTTAGAGTTGGAGTAATTTCGTAAGCACACTAATGTAGTTGGAAATAATTAGCTGCAGCACGATCCGTTTTAAAATGGTATGAGAATAGTTAAAAAAGTTCTTTCATTAGCACAAGCTAACATAAACTCTCCTTACATAAACTCTCCTGTAATAAAGAGAAGAGAACTTTGTTCTTTTTTAAATATTTATTCCATACCTCTCTTTTTCTTACAAAACCCGAACTAACTAAAACAAGCACAATCCGAGAACGATTTTATTCTTTTATTTCTCACGCAAGTACAAAATAATTGTTCGATATCGCAATTCGACAATCTGAGACTGCGATGTTATAATGCAACGTTCAGTTATCGTTTTGAAGGCTTTTCGATGATACGAATTTTGTTTTTTTCTTTTTTATTTTTTGCAATTAAAAGCAATTTGATATGACTAATGATATTAAATATAATTTACATGGAAGTAGCGCTCTTTATTTATTATGCGACTGGAAAATAACGCATGTAAACGAATTCGCGTGCGCAGTGTTGTAACGTTCGCCGAGGTTATTTGAAATACGATCTAATTTACATCGTTCCGGAGTAGTTCGATGATGCTAACTCGTCGGCAATGGCGAGCTGGACAAACGAAGCCGTGCAAAAGTAGTTAAAAAGAAAAAAAAAATACAGCTGATGCACGTTACACAATTGCGCGTTGCGATCGATCATGAGAGACAAAATAATCGGATAGTCTGTATTATGAGTATTAACACCAGAATGGCCGATCCGAATGAATTGCCACGTAAGCTTCTTTTAATCAATTACAGGCCTTACAATTTGCAGACGTCGATCAATAGTGAATGCAAATCGTGAGAGCGGATTTTATCATTGTTTAATTCTCTACAGTCCTTTCTTTCTCTCACGAAGAGGTTTAACATCCTTCTTGATAAATGTTAAAAGACACGTTTTTTATTTGTCAAGATGCAAATTTAAGAACAAATTTTAATAGTACAAAAATTATAGTTATTATCTATCTACTTGCAAAATAGTAAATTTTACTAATGCTAGAAAATAATTTACAGTCCTTTTTTTCCTTCCAAAAGAATCCTTCCGCATAAATATTAAAAAGCGTGTTTTTTATTTATCCACACGCAAATTTAATAACAATTTTTTGCTAATACAGAAAATACTCTACATTTTTTCTTTTCCTCACAAAAAAATAAAAATCTTTTTAGATAGACGTTAAGAGGTTTGTTTTTTATCTCACATATTTAATTTATATATATATATATAATAACAAATTTTAATAGTATACAAACTAAATTATAACTAACTTCCGCATCTAGAATTGCGTTTTTTAATGTTCTCATTTGCCCATTATTTATGTAATTTTGTTGTTTGAATCTTGAGAGTCATATACATATATTCTTATTTTATTGAAATTACGCTGGCTGAAAAAAGATGCGTCGAGTACCGCATAGCAACAACGATTTTCCCAATTTTATTTTTGTAACGTTCGGTTTGACTCCATTGCGTTTAGATCATTGCACTACTCGAAGAAACGAACTGGTCGTATTAGATTTTTGAAATTTTATTTGCGGCAAAGGATTGTAATGAGTTTAACATTTGGAATCTATTTTACTTCGTTGAAGATGGCTAGAAGGTATTCGAAATGTTCGAGAATTGTTACACGATACATATATTTTTGAATACATGATATTTTCATTTCGCAACTAGAACTGCGTTTTTTAGCTCTCATTTGGCCATTACTTATTTATGTAATTTTGCTGTTTGAATCTCTCGAGAGCCCATATATATTCGTTCTCATTTTATTACATTATAACATTAATGATATTAACATTCTAATTGTAAGCATAATGCCATTATAATTTGTCTTATTTCGCGCATATTCTACGAATTTTCGGGATACGTAATGCAAAGGCATTCGAATCGGATCGTGTTGGATATCACGTTTCTACAATTTGCTCGGGCAATCCAGACGGAGATTACCATGCGGAATGTTTCACCCGCAAGTATAGTCTATCTCGTCAGAGTAAGTCCCGTGGTCTGGTCTTAAGCAAATGAAGTTATACTCGCATGCAGCTGCGCCGTTTCAAAGGATCTATCTGAAACGCGATTTAATTTAAAGCGTTACGAATGAAGGTAGTAGTCGCGCGATTTCAACTCGTTTACCGGTGCAATCGCGATTCGGCGATTCAAGAAACTTTCGTTCCTCAGACGACTCGGTTTCCTCCGCCGCACCGCGCAGAAAAGCGAAACTCATTAAGCGGTTATAGAATTTCATTCGACTTGCCAAAGTGAAACAGTAAATTGACGGCTCCGTAAATCTGTTTCGTTCAACAATGCGAAAGTGCAAGTCATTCTCAAACAACACACTACTTCGCCTAATTGTAAGTTTAATCGTTCCATTTTACGATGACTGCATCCCGGTCATATTTAAAACAGAAAAGTACACTCAGAAGAAAATAATAGTTACAATAATTTAACTATAATTTATAATTAATTTATAATTAAATTTGGAAAGAAACTCCGATAATTCAGAAAAATATTTTAACTGTATTTTAGAAAAATAATTGTGTTCATAAAAATACATAACATTATTCCTAAATTATATTATTAATGTAGAAATATTATTATACAACATGAAGTATTATAAATTCAGTCTAAATCATGGCTAAATTTAAATTTTAGAGTCAAACTTTTGAGAGAGACGCATATATTATAAATATCGATCTTTCGGAAGTGTTCGTCGAGCATTTGAAAATAATCGGATAACGAATTCTTATTTGTTTCTTCAATATACTGCCGTCTCATTTATTATATTCTTGAAAGAAAGAAAATAAATTATAAAATATTTACATTTCAAATTGGATTTGTCTAATTTTTGACGAATATCATTTAGAAATTTTATTCTGACAAAACTGTTGCGTTATGGCGAGTCATCTTAGAATAATTATTGCAAAATTATCATGATGCCATTATTGTGTAATGTTTTCACAATTTGTCTGTTGAAGTACTAATATTATAGCAGTAATAACTATAAAAATGGTGCTCTTAATATTTATAATAATTTTACCATGCAATATATAGTCACAAGCACTTTTCTCTCAATGTAGGAAATCGGTTTCATAGATTGCTTCTAAGCTACTGAATACATTCGACCGAATTTCATTCAAACATACTCGAAACTTCTGCGAGATAATCTTCTACGAGTCCTATCTGCGAAACAGGTCTGCAACTTGCGCGTGTTATCCGCGCTGAGGGGATAGACACGTCATTAACGAGCGGTATCTTCGTCACGATCGGCTTGAAAGCGTTTCTTAGGGACAGTTGAATGCATCTCTTTCGTCAGCGGAGAGTCAAGGAACTTTCTTTCGCGCCCGGAGCTGGCTGTGCCAATCGATATAACACGCTTCGCACGCATGTCCGGCAAACCGAGAAAATCGCAAGTACGAAACGGTTGCGCAAGTGTTTCCGGTTCTGAGAGATGCGCACGGACCTTGGCAGATCGCGAGGTGAAAACGTATTGAACACTCGCCACTCACGTATTTTAATTGCGTTCCTTACACTGGCGAGTAATGAGAAACTTTCAAGCTTCTCACTCGTGATAAATTACAATGTTTAATAAGCAAGGCGTGCGGATCGAGTAAATTATATTTTATCAAACATAAAATTTATCAATTTATTTATGACATAAAAATAGTCATTTTGATTATATGACTTATAATTCAAACTTATAATTCAAACTTTCATACACCTTAATTCCGGTATGATAATAATAATAATAATAATCCAAGGTGATACGCAAGAAACTATGAAATTGAGCGTGACATAAGTTGAAGGACGCCCATCGAGTAGTGCATAATAATGTTGCTTCAATGTCATATAAAATTGCAGTGATAAAAATTATTATAATCACGTTAAACTTGTGTGTGTGTGTGTGTTGTCGAATCGGACCCAACCTTTTGTCTATTTTCGTTTCTACCAATATAGATTTAATATCGATTTAACGTACTCTTTATCTTTTTCTGATTCTCAAAAAACTAGAAACTATATAAGAATTAGAAAAAGGTAAAAAGTAAATTAAACCGAGATTGAAGATAAAGTTTAATTTATATTGTAGTGGAAATTTTGCTGTTTCAAAATACATGCGCAAAATTGGCCGTCGATTAATCGAATGTTAACAAATTGAATTTTTAATTTGATCTTTACTTTGCATAACCAGTTAAATTATCATATAATTACAAGAGAGATTATAACGAGTAAATGATCGAAAGTAGACAAACTTATTAAGATAATTAGACATAAACTTATCGCAAATATAATATCACTATGCGATACAAAATGGAATATTAAAATAACATTCAAACGATTGTTTGAACTTTTGAATAAATGAAGTTATTAAAAAAAATTTATTAAAATTTAATTTTATTAAAATAAAAAGATAAAAAAAATTTAGTTCCATGTTGTACACGTTTCTCATGTTTATAGTTAATATGAAAACAGGATGGTACTTACTGCCTCGTGGACCGTAGAACTTAACGGAGAATTCATTTAGTCCTCCTAGAATCGTCACCTCGTGTTTGCTTTCTATTCTGTTTGCAAAAGAGTTAAGGAAAATTGCTTTCTCTCTCTCTCTCCCTCTCCCCCCTCTCTCTCTCCATCTCGCTATATTACATGGAGCTGTTGTGTATCTGTATGACGGGAGCGGCAAATCACGGGTTATCCGTCAACGACGAGACACGGTAATCAGCATACGATGCACTCGGAAAATTGAAAGAGAGGTAAGAGACGTGAAAAACTATGCCGAGCTGCAGCTGGACCGTTACGGCCAGCGCGTGGCTATCTAACCGGCTATCTAACGCGGCGCACAAATATTCCTGCGACAATGCTAAACCGTATCATTTTTCCATCTATTTTTTTTCTACTTTTATCTCTCTTTATTTGCGCAATGGAGCTCGCGCGGCTAAAACGCGGATCGTACTTGTGTAATATCAATAAACCATGCGGCTTAAAACTACCGTTTCGCGCTGGCTTTTTTGCGTTTGCATGAATATAGATGAAGAGAGAGGCACACAAATTTTATAAATTAGTTAATAAAATTTACAAAATATGTGTACTCGCGTTAGCACCTTTAAACTCGCGTCAGTTTATCTGTAATCACTGAGATACTGTAATCTCATTTATCGTACATAACTATGACGTATATCAAGACTTGTATCTCGTGTATACGAATCTAACGCGCTTAAAAAGAACAGAGGATCTCAGGAGAGCAATAGGCTCTCACACACCATACACACAAGCATACACACCATTAACGGGAACGTTTAAACTAGTCGCTGGCTTGCTTATCGCTTGTGTAAGAGCAAAACTTTCGATGCGTGCATTAGAAAGTGCTTATCTGAATGGCGGTTTCGTAGGAGGTGAATTACTATTTTTTTCTCGATAGACCAAACGCGAGCCAAGCTCCGTGTATGAGACGGTAACAGCGGGTCTTCCGACAAAACGCATACCGAGACAAATCACGAAAACGAATTTCGTCGCAAATTGCGATGTATTTTGATGACGTAACGCGAGTTACGAGAGCGACCCATCTCTCGCCACGAAAACAAAAATCAAGCAATTAAATCGTCGTTCGACTTAAGGGCGTCTAAATACTTCTAAACCTCGCGTTTACGGTATCGCACGTTGTTATACGATTTCCGTGGCACGTTATATGCTTACGGGGTACACTTTTATCACCGCGTAAAATCTGTGGCGCGCGGCGCAGCAATAAAACCAGTCCTGATTAAATTATTCACGACCTGCTCGCGCGTACGTGAAAATATACGCGCGCGGCAGGGCTTTTCAACGCTTTGGAATATAAAAATATCATTAATTTAATATCCTCTCGCTCGAATTTTGTCAGCCGAAACGAAAGTGGCGTCCAGTGTCATTAAAATATTTAAGCAAGAGCATTCATCGTAACAATACATGTTAAATATATAACTTTCCAAAAATAAACTTTTTAATTCCACATATTACTCGTGTAGTTTCTTTTAACATAATTAGGGGAGAGCGAAAGAACTGCAAACACCTAAGGAAAAAGTTAGATAAAGAAGTGACGATATTTATTAATTAATAAGTCTTTATTAAAAAAATATTTCAGTTGCTTGGTAAACTACAATAATTAACATTAATTTATTATTAATATAAACATAAACTATAATTTTAAACAAAAAACAGAATCTTATTGCCATTCGGAATTATATTCGCCGCCACGAGGCGATGCTGAAACGGTTGCTTTCTTACAATTTAGAATTTACGTTTAATTACAATTTATGTTAATAATATATAAATGTTAATTATTGTAGTTTAAAATTAATATCCTTTGAATAAAGACATCTGTAATTGATAAATAATTGTCGGCTTTATGTAACTTTTCCTTTAGATATTCGCAATTTTTCTACATCAAAATCATCGAAAACATATAATGGTCTTTATCTTAAATGACGTAATATGCGTTCTATGATTACGTACTATAATGCAGTACTATGTATATATCGGATTATCACTGGATGCGAGAAATGAGAGGTTATACTCTGATATACTATAATAGTATTGTTCGCGTTTACCTCGTATTCGCAATTCTCCCACTCTCCCATTGCGTGAGATGTTTCCTTCACCTCAATTACATTATACCTCAATTTTCATTGTTCTCTTTAATTATTTACAATTAAATAAAGATCAATAATATTCTATACGTCCTTCAGATGAGAAAATAAATGCAAAAACTTTTTTTTTAATTGCAAAATAATGTACGTTAAATATAATGAAGTAATAAATATAATGAAGTAATAAATAGTGTTATAATACGTATAACACGTACGATAAATTTATAAGGCTGGGGTGACCTGGATACTTCACGCGAGTAATACAGGGTTAAATCTTTAACCTCTTAAGAATTGAATCTTTAATAAAATGTTATTACACATTTTTTATGAGGCAAATACCATCGTATCTACGGCTGCGCATCGTCATTCGAGAAAATCATATTGATTTTCTGAAAAATGTCCTATAAATTAATTTTCTCAATTGCGCGAAGTGCAACGCTTATCCACCTTACGATAAGCAACCTCCGGTGTTGCGGCAAGTGATTAGAAGCTACATTTCAATGTACGCGAGCGCGTTGCTCCGCTCTCACCTGCAGATTTCGAGAGCTTTATCTGCGAGATCACGTTCCGTGAATACAGTGTTGGATATGTATCTAGATACATGTATAGAAATACAATTTGTGCATCTAACCTGTATCTGAGATACATTCGAATTCGAATATTTGTATCTGTATCTAGATTAAAAAACACAGCATCTGAACAGATTTTCAGATGCATTTTTTAGACACATTTCCTCAACATAGTCATAATTCCGTTTTATGTGTGATTGTCGATTGATTCCATTCCGCAGAAAAAAGCAGCTTTGCTGTTGCAAAATTCTATAGCATGATTAGTCTTTCCCTTAGTTTCTCACTGGATCTAAATGCAAATCAGTCATATTAAAGAATTTTACAGTTACACAGCTGCTTTTTCTGCTGAACGCAGCCAGTGATCTTACGTCTTATAAGTTAGCGGAACAAAATAAGCGGAATCGATTCTAACTAACATTTTTATTTGTTGCTCATTTGTTACTAAAAAGTTGCCAAAGAAAAAAATTTGTTGCTCTGTCGGTTTATTTAAAAAAACGATGTTTCGCTAAAGAAAGATTCAGTTAGCGGAACAATACCTACAACAAAGCCAATCTACGCAGAAATAACGTAGGAATTTATTGCTAATTTGTTGCTAATTTGTTGCTGCCGAAATAACATTTTTTTTAATACTTTACATACTGAAAAAGTGTAAATAACAACGAGAAGCCTCAACGTGCTGGCGGAACAAGAGTAAAGTATCAATAAAAGATTTGTTGCTCGCTTAAAATTGGTACTGCGACCTCGTCCGAATTAGTTGCTCTAGAAATAAACAATTTAGCAATTTGTTGCTTGCAAAATCTTCCTTTAGCGAAACATCGTTTTTTTAAAATAAACCGACAGAGCAACAAATTTTTTTCTTTGGCAACTTTTTAGCAACAAATGAGCAACAAATAAAAATGTTAGTTAGAATCGATTCCGCTCATTTTGTTCCGCTAACTTATAAGACGT